ACTTGACATTCGTGAAAAGCTGGACTATTCGAGTTTACACTATATCGCTCAAGAAATCGTCTGGGACGGTAGTAAAGTGCCCATAGACTGGGAGTTAAAGGTGGTGAACTACGGCCGTAAGCGGTGAATAATGAAAGGCGAGACAGCCAGATGACCCCGCTCTGAATGGCGAGCTTCACTACATTCCTAGCAAAAGTCGCGTCGCCATGGACTTGAACCATGTAGTGCAGCGCCCATGAGCGCGACGTTTGCCACTGCACCACAACCTCGGATCATGGCCTAAATGATTGTACAGGAGTGAAATGCTCCCGGGACCAAGGAAGGAGCTATAACACGATCAATAAGTGGAACACTGCAGGGGACAGCTGATCACCTTATTGGCAGAAAGTTATCAATATTATCGATAGCTCCAGTGGCTTTCTTGCTGCCCACACTCAACACCTTCCACGAACCCCTTTCTTCCCTGCGCTCTGCGCATGGCAGGGACGGAGAGACGCTCAATGCGACCAATGCATGACGTGCAGAGAAAGGGGGAAGTGCATGGGGATTGAAGAGACGCAGATAGACGGCGACTAAAATGTACTCAGGGGTACATTTTAGTCGCCCTCTACATGACCCTCTGCGTCTCTGCAATCTCCACGCACTTTCCCCTTTCTCTGCCGGGTTCGCCGCCTAGGCTAGGTGCCACCTAATACGTTCGCCACTTAACATGTGGTATAGACCTCGCCCTCTGCGGGAGGTCAGCGTGAATTTCCGCCCTTTCCCCATGCTTTTTGAGTGCCGACGAAGGCGAGATCAACGTGACCTATTGGCCAGCTATAGACTGGCTATTTAGGGGACTTTACTACCGTCCCAGCATGGCGACGTTGATCAGTTTCGTATCAAAGGTTATCTTTGGTTTCGAGAGAGCGTCACAGGAAACAAAAGGAGAAGGAAGAACGTATTGCGGGCAACTAGAATCCCAGGAGTGGGATAGCACATTTCATTGTGATTATTAAGACTCAGGCAAAGCTCTCCTCTATGGGATGAATCTCCCCCACTTTCACCCCTAATGCATTTTTCCGTCCTCTTCACCTCCTTTACTTTCCGATGGTTGAAGCCAGACAAAAATCGAATCCATCATCTTCAGTTCTTGCACCACCCTCTGCACTACTGACAATTTCAGAAATAACAAAAGAAAAAATTCGAAAGATTCTCTGAGTCTGAAAAATGCTTCATATCAAGAAAAAATTGTGGAATCCGCTATAGGTCCTCCGCCGTTGGATGGAATTGTAACTGATGTCTGGACACCTGAATACTGGGATGACATTGTGAAAGTGGAACTTCCATGGATGCAAAGAGGTAGGAGTCAAAGATTAGACGAGTATTTTTCTGGGATGAATCAGAATCAGAAGAAATATCAGAAGGAGACGACCTACCGAGAAGCCTCAGAAAGACAGACCTGTGAATTTCACATTTGTGAATTTTTCTTTTTAGGAAGACAACTCAAGAAACCAGCACATATCATGGCACACCACCAAAACCCGTGATCAAACCAGGTGAAATAACAGCTTTTTCGTTCAAGAGCGAAAGCCTACTGAAACTATCAGTTTTGATTATTCAATGTTCACTTATAAGAAGGGGGAGGTCGGATTCAGCTCTGCAGCCTTATTCTACAACTTCCGTCCTAGGTTTCTACCTAAATATGTACAACCTGCCGCGCTCTCAACCTGCAGTTCAGAAGGGCTGCGCAGGAAAGTTACAGAGCATATATGAGGCGGCCTTATAAGAAGCATTTCGTTTCCACTCAGAAATCCGAAATGGCACTAGGGTACACGAATCGCTTCCATCTCCAAGCCTTCCCAATCAGTCGAGCTTATTTGAAGCCTTAATCTTTGCATGGGCGCAAGGCTAACCGCTGCGTTGGGGAAACTTTGACCCCCATGCATCCGCTCTAGAACGGGATCCTTATTCGACACCAATAATGTACATACTTGGAAGCAGGGTAAAATATGTATATTCAGCACTAGTTTAGAAAAGTCAAAAATGCAGAATGTTCCAAATCTTCAAAATTCTCAAAAAAATGTCTCATATCTCGAAAACCATTTCTCTTCAGTTACACCTCCTTCGAATGATGAAGCTGTGAATGGTGGATGGATACCCTGGTGGAACAACTGGTATGGACCAATGGGATTTCCATGGTTTGTAAGAGGTAGGGCGGTTTACACAAGGTTAGAGATAGAAGGTGCACCATTTGAGCGTGAGTCGGGACCAGGGCAAGCCTGTGAAGTTCGCTATGGCAAATTTATCTACTTTAGGTAGGCTTCACCTAAAAAACCACAGCAAAGAATATCTTTCGAGAGTAGATCAGGATCAGCCCAACTTTCAGGCGATGGACCAACAGCTCCCGTCGCAGGAACCCCTGCTGAGTGCCACCGTTGATTTCACTAAATTCAATTCGATGGCTTGATTATTGGTTGAATATTGCTTATCGATTGGATGACAGTTAAAATACTCGGTAGTTTTCCCAATAAAACTTTAGCCATATGGAGTTTGTTCATGTTTTTTTTCACGTAGCATACTAGCTGCACACTGATGCACACTGAAATAAGCAAATCCTTCTATTTTATAAAGCGCTAACTTTGTGTGTCGGTTTGTGTATCTGTATGTGTGTGTGTATGTATGTGTGTCCGTCCGCAAAATGAAGTGAGTGAGAAGGAAGCTCATGGGATAAACAAACCGCTAACAAATCGGGTAGCTTACAGGATTTGAGATATCAATGTTTTGTAGCAGGATAGTTGTGATAACACTCTCAGGGCTATATAAACACCTGCTTAGCACACTTCCGTTCATTCCATGGTGCTGCAGTGGCAGCTGGAGGGCAGTGGAGAGAGGAAGGGAGGATGAGGAAGGGAAGCGAAAAATCTACCGTCATATCATGATTGTGTCCCTTCTACTGTATGAAACACCATTGTGTTGCATACGCGTCACTTCCACGAGGTGTTGGTGTCACAGGAGGAAGGGACCATAGCGGAGGATAGAAAGCTTGCGCAGGAAAGGAAGGTCCCGGCGGTTGACGGGGGACTAATCTGGTTAAAAAATAAAGTTGATGAAAATGCCTCCACGACGTATATTTCCCCAGAAGTTTCCATTCTTCGGGACCTCCTCCCACGATCACGAGAATTGATCTTTAAATAGTCATTGTTAAATCTCAGTGTCGATGGATCTCGTTCACTTTTACATACTGAAGCATCACCCTTGTATCTTTGAAGTCCTTCTAGCGCTAGGGGGGACGGGGGGTTACGTTATTAGGGGGCCCGCCGCATCAACACTCTGCAATTTGCTACCGCACACTGAACTCTCTCCACTTTCATCGCCTCTCATCCCAAATTGCGACCCCTCCTCGTTCGTTAGGAAAATGTCAATGGACAGCTAACCTTATTTCAGAGAGGACAAGGTTATGGAACTGTTAACAAATATTCAGATATGGACACTTTAAGTCCTGGTTTCTCCTAAGTTATTTCGGTTACTGGTTCCGCTCAAATGTATCACCAGAGTTAACTCTATTGACGAGCTTTTCACCAAACTCATATCAGCGATTATGACGCTCAAAGATCGCTTCCGGGACGCAACCTTCTATCGGCTCTTGTGTGAGACCTTCCAGTGGCAACGGTGGAGCGTATGGCACCGGACCAAAAATTAATGCCATAGATAAAGTTTCAACGAAAAAAATTCCCGAATAAGGGAGTCTTCAAGGCATAACGCAGAGCAGGATCGAGCATGGCTAGCAAGAAATCTCCAACTTCGACCAGCAACCAACGTGAATTCCTTTGAGCACAGATAGAGTACATGAAGGAATACTGATTGATGATGCAGCGGACCTGAAACAAGTTAATATGGTTCGTGGCAGAATCTGAAAAACGCGCCCACTACCGAACGAGCGGCACAAAACCGCTGAAGAATGAAAACGACAATAGATATGGAAATCGCTAGACTGTTACTTTATGAGAAGTTTATGATTATATTACGTAAGCAAAAATCAGAAGCAGAACAACGTAAAGAAATTTCAGAACATTGAATTGGCGCTCGAGTTCTCAGATCGATTTGCAAGTTGTTATCCTTTTCAGGGTCAACCGTTACGTTGGACCGATATTGGAGCGACGTTGGACCGATGTTCACCGCTCTCCGCGCCGGCATTCACTCTCGCCACCCGCGAGCCGTCTGTGTCTCCGTGCGTACGTTCA